AACTGCCCCTTGGAAATAGCACAGTAACAGAACACTTGTCTCTCACATTCAAGCCCTGGTTTACTTCCCAGGACTAAAGCATGCCCATCCTTTGGCTCATGGTGCTTTGGTTCTAGAATAGAGTCTGGTGTGTGAGATGGGTTTGTCCTCTGCATGTCCTGCTGGGTGCTTTGGTAAGTCTGTTATTCTAGTCAAAGGGTAGACACCTAGAAGTCACATGATCAGTCTCAATTTTATTTACCATTGTAAAGGCTGTGTCTCTGTACACATGGGACCATGATGGTTTCCAATGGCAGGTTAAAATTGTGGGGATGTAATAACCCTCTAACCAGGTTTTAATAGTCTTGATAAATGACATAGCTGTACTGCTCACAAATGAGGCACAGGAAGCAGCTTGCCATCTGTACAGATTCATGTTTAAAATTCTTCTGATATTAGCAGATTCTTTTCTGTGTTGGATAACTCCAATTTTGCCTGGCTGCGTGACCAAATGTTTCCTGGCTCCTGCTGGCTGTGCTTTCCAATGGAATAGAAACCATAAGTTCTAAGTGGAACCAGTGAAAAATATTTGGTTCTGACTTTGCCGGGAAGAAATTGAATAAACCAATTTTTTTTTCTGGGTAATTGGGAAATTTTTACAACAGTAGGATAAGAATAAACATTCACGAGATACTTTTCATAAAATATTGAGATTTAGATCTTCTAAATTGAACTTATTTCTAGTACTCATAATGGCAATAGGGTTTCTTTTTAAACTGTATTCATAAGAGGGTGTATGTGAAGTCCTTCTGAGGAGCGGGACGCTTATGGTGGGTGAGGAACAATATGCATAGTGATTAAGAACCAAACATTCAGTGAAAGGCTCCCTCAGTTACATCTTAACTAGCCAGAGCCATTTTGGATGTGTTTCCCTTCTGCTTCCTGAACCAGAGACTGCAGCTCCATCACAGGAAGCGGCTCTGGAGAGCTACGCTCTCATATCACTGGGTCTCCATGAGGAAACCAAGGTTCCAAGAACGCTAGCACCCTGTTCAGTAGCATAGAAAAGGGAGGAGGCAGAGAAAGGCTAAGCACCAGGCTTAACTGCATCTCATATATCCCCGCTGTCAAGTTTCCAGGGTTCCCAGGAACACCGAGATGACCACAAGGACCAAAGCTGTTGGATGTAAACTTCACATCCTGTTGCCTGGTCTTAAATAGCCAAGACCCAATATGGCTGACGCTGATGCCAAAACTCCGCTGCTAGGTAACCGATAGGAGTCAGTCGTGGCCAAACTGAAGAGTCTGATAATTTAGCCTCGTACCGTGGCAACCTCTAGAAATGTAGTCATGGCATCTACAGAACACAATCACAACAGGAAAGAGGTCTTTGAAATAAAGATGCACGTCCCACCCCCGTGCTTCCGGTGAGGGAAGGAAGTAAAAGAGAGTCGCAGGTGACTCCTACGTTACAGTGAGAGGTCAGGACAGTGCTTTGTCTATTGGTGTGGTGCTCTCTGCTGCTTCAGGATGTCTCTGAGGGTGCTGACTCCTGCCTTAGGGAACATGAGCAAGCAAAGGAAAATAGGTAAACTGAGGAGACCGCTAAACACGAAGGAAATGACCCAGTTGAGCATGAACGTGGGAAAGGATGGGGACCGGAGATGGGTAAGAGGAGGGTGTTTGGAGGTGACTGTTAGCAGACTATGTCACACACACACAGAGGATGAAACTTACTATTTTTATAATTAGTGTACGCTAGTAAAAGCAGCCACCAGCAAACATAAAGAACCCTGTTAGAGTTTATGAAGAGGAACAAGGGGTTTCACTTGGAGCCTTTGCTTCAGACCACATTTCATCAGCCTTCCTAGAGAACAGACCTGAAGATTGTTGTCTATCTTTAGGTTTTTATGACAGACTCTTGCTGCGTTGCCCAGGCTGAGCTGGAACTCACTATCTTTCTATAAAACACTAATAACGGCAGCTCGGGCTGTGTGGAGAATATGTAAGGACCTTCGTCGTGACTAGTAATGACTCTTAGGAGCTCGTACTTTAGTAAGTTCCAATAGTTTCTTATGGACAACATTACAGATATAAATTATATTTCTGCCTGTATTAATTCAGCCTGTCACAACCAAGTGCTTCAACTTGAGTGGCTACACCAGGAAAAGTTTATTTTCTCTTCTGCAGAATGTAAGGCTGAGATCAAGGTGACAGCAAGCTTGGCCTCTTCTGAGGGCTTTGCCCTGAGCTCGGAGATGATGCTCTGTTCTGTGTCTTCTTGTGTCTGACCCTAGTTTTTATTATAGGGACATGTGTCATACTGGGCTAGTGGTCACATTTACAGCCTCATTATAATTCAGGTACATCATTAAAGATGGTCTCCAAATACAGTCACATTCTGATGCACTGGGGAGAGGCCAGGGTTTCAACACATGAAGTTTGGGATGAGGTGATCCAGCCCATAACTATATCTATACCTGTATCTGTATCTGTCTACATCTATGTAGGTGTATCTAGATGCAGGCTTATGTGTCTCTACAGCCTGAAATGCTCATAGTGAGCATTCCTCTAAATCCTGTTGGGTGACAGCAAGAGGACACACATTCCAAGTCTAATTTCCCCAGCTTCATTAGCGCGTGGCCTGTTAGCAAACTTATTAGGAACAGGCTCTCTCCAGCCAACTGTTATCTAATTTCCAGGCTCCTGAGACCGACTGCTCCATTAATGCCGGGAAGAGCGAGGATGTCTGGGGAGACTGTGGGGCTGCTGGTTGCCTGTCAGAATGCCCGCGTGGTGTCAAGAGATGAAAGGCACTGTGAACCACGAGAACGAGGCTCGCACTGTGAGCATCCTCTGGCCTCGGGTCTTTGATTCTCTGTGTGGCATGTAGCAAAGGCTGGGACACTGGACTACACACAAGAGGAGCAGAAGGGAACGTGGGACACCTTTTCAGTGCACAGGCTGTGCTTCAGAGTGAATGGTCAGGACTTTACCAGAAAATGGCAGCTCCCCATCTCCCTGCATTTCTCTCTCCCTCCTATTTATTTCTTCAGCTCCTCTCATTTATAGAGTGAGGGCTTGTTGAAGACCATGCTCTCAGTGCAGTCCTGTGGAGGCCAGAGGTGACTCACGCGTATTCTGCCTTCTATGTCTTATTCAGAACACCTCTTCCCTGTTCTGGGCTAGCCTGTGATTTCTGGCCTTCCTCTACTAATTCTTCGACAAAGCTGGGTGCCGCATTGATGAATAGAGCCAGGCCTCTCTTTGCTTCAAAGTTCCCAGTCATTGCTGTAAAGCTGTCAGCATTCTCAGCTGAACTCCTGCCTACATCACACACCCCCTCCCTCACAGCCAGGGGCTGAGTTGAAGGCCAGGTTCCAGCCCCTTCCAGCCTGGTGGTTATCAGCTCACTCAGTTGGTCCCAAGCTGCTTTGTTGTTGGTTTTTTTTTTTCTTTTTCCATGTGCTAAAAGCTGTTCCTTTTGATTCCTCCCACTTCTTCCTCTTCTCATTTTTGACTGCTTTTCTGATTCACGTTGATCATCTCCAATGAGCTGGCTCAGTGTGCAAAAATAAAGGTTTCTCTGATCTGCTTCCTCTCTGCCCACTGTTTATTCCAAAGAATACATATATGCGCCTCCACCCCAGTATTCCTGCCTGGCAGAAAGGAGTGCGAAGAAGAGGTTCCCTTTCAACCCTTCCACCCTCACTCATCCTAAAATTTCTTCGCATTCATCATCACATTTGTTTTCTAAAGGAAAGAGTGAAAGAAAAAAAAACATGTGGAGGGTCAAGGATGCAACTCCATAATGTGGTTTTAATCTCATCTTCAGGTTCAAAGACCTTGAGACTGATTTCTTGAATGGATCTCAATGCAAGCATAGAGTCTCCATGAAAATTTTATTTCTACCATTTCATTCAATTGGATAGACATGATCAGACCAACTGTTTTATTTATATTTTACTCAACACAGGCAGAGTGTGTCTCATCCCTGAACATGCCAGTCCAGGGGTGACTGCTTCCCCCCACTCCTGCCAATCAAATCAGACCCATTGCCAGCCACATGGGACTCTCATTCCTCTAGGAAGGCTCCCTGAGTCTCCCACGTGCCTCCCGAACCCCCAGACATAGACCTATTTGTGTCCCGGCAGCAGAATCAGATACCAATAGGGACTCTATTGAGGAGGGGGCAATGGATCAATATAATGTTCTCCAGGCTCCAGAAATCTGTCCCCGCTTCACTCTGGTGGGCTCAGCTTGGCTATCAGACTTGGGAACATGTAGAACGCGACTTTCAACATAGTCTCTGAAGACGGAATGCCTTGTCCTTTCCACCCAGACTGCCTGTTCCTCCACGAGGGAGACAGGGCTTCCTACTTTCCCTTCTGTATTGATCTCTGTTGCAAATCCAGAGATGCTCCTCCCAACTAGTGTTTGCTGTTTCTCCTTGCTTGGCAGTGAGGTCTGTTAGGACTCACATTCAGAAAAAAAAAATGCTTTTGGAGAAAAAAAAACATTCTCACATACTTCAAATGGAGAGATAAATTATCAATCAATCAATTGATAAGTTGGTCTGAGCACATTTCTTGGATGGAACAGATAAGATTCATTTAGGCTTAGCTCACAGGGCTTCTTGCTGCCTATCCCTGTGGCCAGAGCAGTATCTATGGCTCTCCTTACCCTCCGGACCCTTCTGGGCAGTGTATTGATCTGCTTCTCCCCCATTGCACCCACCGCCAGTCAGCCCCTCCAGTGTGGAGAACTCATCGCTCCCTGCGGCATCCCAGAAGTCCCTACTCTGGTTTTCTAAGTAGATTTGCAGTAAGTTAGCAGACCTGACTCCACATAGACTGCCCCATGGCTTTTCAGGAAACTTTGAACTTATCTGCATAAGAAATAGAATGCAGAGAAGATGTGAGCCCTTACAAGGCTATGAGCAGAATTCCAAGCTGTAATCCAGCAAGCTAGGCAGTATTCACGTGTTAATCACTGGCGTGCCACTCTGAGGAGCACCCCACTCTCTCCAGTTCCTACTCTTGTGCTGCAGCAAGATTTGGTGGCATCTAGAGCAGCCCTCCCAGTCCTGTTCTAGTAAGGAGTGGTCACAGTGATCTTTCCTTCCCATTGCACACAACGGCAAGGCGCTTCTTAAAGGGACCTTCCAGCTCCTCCATGCCGTCGCCAACCCGAGTAAGTGCAGGCTCAGGAGCCCCAGCTTTCGCCTGAGGATGAGTGGGGAGGGGTCCTGAGACGCCTCCACCTCCGCATCCTTCAAAATCCGGGAAGGAGGCAGCTGACTGGCAGAGTGGATGGAGACCACGGGTCGGCGGAGCCCGGCTTGCTGTTAGCTGCTTCTTGGGATGCTCCTCTCCAGTTGAGCCTCCTGCCTATGATCCAGAGGGTGCTGGCGGCGCATCTTGCGGTATGCCTGCGTTGCTTTGAGCCAGCGCCCAGAAGCCAGCCCTCCGCATCCAGGCACCTCGGACTGGCTCCAGGCAGGGTTGTGTGCAGTCACCATGAAGGCTCAGCCCTAGGCTTCTGCACCAGCCTCCTGACCACATGGATCTGGCTGTTTAATCAGCCGAGCTCACAGCCTGGGAAGATTGGGGAGGCTGATCCGCGCTCCAGCTGCCGAGACAACTTCCAGCTTGGCTGTTTACTTCTTTGGGTCCCCGGGACTCTGTCCTGAACCTCAGCTTCTCCTGAGAGACTGTGGGCTCTGAAGTCAGCTGCCGGGACTCCTCTGAAGGCATCCAGGAACGGGGGCAAGAGGGGTTAAAAGACAGCAGAAGTCCCCCCAACTGCTCACCCTCTGCCGACCGCCTGTGCTGTGGGGTTCTGAGAGGACCTTGCGCTGGTCCTGGGAAGCAATGCAAGTCTCTATAGCCTGCACAGAGCACAATTTGAAGAGTCGAAATGGTGAGGACCGACTTCTGAGCAAGCAGAACTCCACCGCCCCCAATGTGGTGAACGCAGCCCGGGCCAAATTCCGCACTGTCGCTATCATCGCTCGCAGCCTGGGGACCTTCACCCCTCAGCATCATATTTCTCTCAAAGAGTCCACCGCCAAGCAGACTGGCATGAAATATAGGTAGGAATGAGAGGTCCCTCCGCCGGGGGGTTTCCATGGGCTTTGCAGGTGCAGTCAGGCGGTCCTTTGGTTTTGAAGTGACTTAACTCAGTGCTGTTTGGCTTAATTTAGAATTCTCAGGTGTTTGCTTTGAAATTAGACTTTTAGGGGGAGGGGTGAAAAAAAAACCCAAGCTGGTTGGAAGCCTGTGCTCGATTTTTAAGATGTGGCCCATTTGTGTATTCTAAGTGTTATTGAACACCTTAGGACCTAAATGAATTCCAGGCAGTAAAGACACAGGAGCCGGAAACTCTCTTCTGCTAGGAGAGTTTGTCAGGAGCCGAAGTGTGTGTCCGGCTTGATGCACAGACAGTAGATTCTGTGCTCATCCTATCAGAGCAGTTCCCATCCCACACGACACCCTTACCTTTGAGAGACCAAGGGAACATGCTAAGCACAGCTTTTAAGGAAGGTTCATGGCAGAAACACAATGGTACGTTAGAGTGAGCACTGCTATATTTAAACCGAAATCACTGCCTGAGATGAACGTTGTGAAATACGGAGGGTCAGTTTTTCAAGGCTCGCGGATGTCTTGTGTTTCTCTTTCCTGTAGCATAAGGAATTCACTGTTTTTCGTAGATAGAAAACTTGCTGTAGTAGGAACAGCTCATCATTCTGGGATGGGTTTCCTGCCGCCTCACTGTGTGTGTTTTGCGCAGCCCTCGGGACGTCGGTTCTGCAATACTGCTGCACTTCTAGCTTCTAAGTGTCTGAGCCTACAAAGGAGAGAAGCTCCTGACACATCCTCCAAGTCCTTGACTACTCTCCTTTGCAGGGGACACTGTTCATTGTTTACTTTTCTCTCTCTCTCATTTGCGAGAGACCAGATTATTGGATAAGGTGAACTCCGTACAATTAAGATACCGCATATTGAAGACTGTGTTTTCTATGTGAAGTAAGCATTTTAAACTTCTCTATAAAAGTTGCCCCTGGTGAAAGTTTATCTGCAGAGTTAAGGGAAACCTTCCATGGCAAAAGTAAATCTTGTTCTTCTGATGTTTTCAAGCCAATGAGAAAGAAAACCTCTGAATGGGGATGGGAGGAAGTCACCCATAATCGAAGTTCTGAGCCACAACTGTAGGGTGAGGACAAGCTACCATATAAACCACCTGACTGTGGTCCTTTCCTCTCAAGGGTCGATGCCATGAGCCCTCTGTTTTCCCTTGCATTTCTAGTGGGCATGGGACCCCACAATGACCCCAGTTGCTCACGCTCTGGCATTTTCAGCACAGCTGCGGTGGCACACATGCAGCCTTAGTCCTGTGCACAGTGGGTGCTACTGAGGCTGCGGCTAAGCTGATGCCACCAGAGAAGAGTCCAGGAACAAGGCACCCCAGGTTGAGGGGGCCCCAGTTGTGATCTGCGGTATTTGGCAGAACAATAAATTTGGTTTCCTGTAAGGCACAATTTAGAAAGTCACGGCCCTACTGTGCGGCCACAGGAAGCTGTGTGTTGTGTCGCAGGTGTTTGTCAGGGCATGGGCTTTTGAAGTGGAAAGCTCTCCAGGAAGGTCTTCCTAGGAACACAGTTGAACTCAGGTTGGACTGTAACTGTCCCCCCCCCCACCACCACACCCCCCCCCCCGACCCCCCCCCCCCCCCCACACACACACAACTGACGCCTCTCCCCCATTGCACCCAGGCTTCCCTGCGCCCCCAGTGAGCCGAGGACACCAGGTAAAATGGAAACAAGTGTGGGGACAAGCCCCCCACCCCCCCCCCCCCCCCGAAGCTCAGTGTGGGCAGCACTCCTAGAGATGCCTTTCCTTGCTTGCGGCTAAGCACAGCCCTTCACTGGCTATCATCTGGGTCCTTCAGCCCTCTTGAGCCTGTGGTAACTAAATAAAATGCCTCTTTTCCAGTCCTCTTCGCGTGCAGTGCCTCTCCATCTACGGCAGGTGGTTTATGTGTGTGTGAATCAGACTTCCCTCCTTCAAATTCGACTCAGAGTGACATTTATGAGAAAGATTATGAGAGAATGTCATATGCATGTTCCAAGCTTTCACAGGGTATGGAGGAGTAGGGCAATTACTATCTCCCCAAAATAGCGAGAGTATTTTTGTTGCCTGAATTGTGGTTTTTGTTACATCGTTTCGTCTAGAATATAATGTGAGTGCATGGGGTGGTTGTTAGGAAGAAATTGGAATGCTTTTGGGTTGAAGGGAAGATAGCTGGCTTGTCTGGACAGTCACCGGTGAACCAGGACCCTAAGTTAGTGATGGGTTGTCATCAGAATGCCATTTTTACTCTTGAAGATGGTTTCCACGTTAGAGCTTTGAGGACTGGCCACCAGTCCTGGGGCAGGGGAAGGAAGGAATCCAAGAAGGTTGATCATAGTTTTCTCCAGAAATTTTGTACAGTGAATAGGCATTCAGGTAGCCAGTAATAATTTATTGCACACCCACTCTTCACGTGCACGGAGTACTTAAATGGAGAAGCCGAACAAGACTTAGGAACTAGCTTCAAGTTGGGAAAAGGCACCCCTAAAAGGAAACCAGCAAGTAGATATTCAGATTTTCTATTGTGACACGCTCTTGTAGGGCTACACACTAGGGTGCTATTCCTGTCTCTTTTGGGGGCTGCGAGTTCCCCTTGCATCCTATGTCGAGTGATTTCATCTTGGGGCATGAACTGACCAAATCTCCCACTCACTCACTCACTCTGCAGTCCCATGCTTTTAGGTTCAGTCTTGCTGTAAGGCCCTGGTGCTCCCTGGAAGTTTAGGACCTGTTTATGACCTTGAGGAATAAGTAGGCTTCTTTCCGCTTCTGTAATGATCGTGACTCTTAAGTCTCAATTCTTAAGCCTAGGAAAAATAAGCATAGGTCAAGAGCTCATATAAACTAGGAGCTTAGCAACAATTAATGTGTTTGTACAAGTCTTCTAAATTTTGCAGTGTAATTAGATTCTCACCACAACTGTGTAAGAATCGTCTATCAAACCGGATATTCTTTTCAAGGCTTAATATGAACAAAATAACCTAAGAGAACATGCTTCTGTTCCAACGTTACTGTTAGTGGAAGAACAAGACTGTTCCTAACGCTTACTCTGGGGCTGTCTGTATCTAAGACTGTTTTGTGTTTGGTAATCATGAAAGTTACTCTGTCTTAGTTTTCCCTGCTTTTACTCTGTGTTCAGCACTGCCTGGTAGCTTGGTGGGAACTCTCCAGGCATAGATGATAGATCTCCGGGTGGTAGACGTTCCTACACACACGCACCTTTCATGCCCCAGAGCTCATCTGTCAGAAGTTAAACCAGGTTTACTTGCTGACTTTTTTTTTTCTGTTAGTTTGGGGGGTGTTCTGTTTTAAGGGAACTTTTTAGAATACTCCAGGTGCCAATGTTTGACATGGTTTGGAGCTTTTTTTGATTATATAACATAACATATTTGTGTTTATTAAACCCCTCTTCATATTCTGAAATTATTGTTTTAGTTTGACAATTTAAATATTGATAACCTTAATTTTATTAAGAAAAATGTATTTGAACCATGACGACATGACCTTGTGCTGTGTAGTTACATAAAACGTGCTTTGCAGTTAGTACACAGCTGGATATAGGCTTTACAATATTTTAAAGTTTTATCTGCAAAAAGAACATTACAAACCTGAGAAATAAGCTTTAAATCCCTTTTAAAACTTCAAATTTTCCTATTCTTAGCTAGCTGCATTTGACCATTAAACTTTTTATAAATAATTATAGATGTGCAGAATTTTTTTTAACTCTATAGACAATTTCGATGACCCATTACATTTCCAGTGGCAACATAATAATACCATGGTTTCAAACCTTGAAAACTGTCTTATAAAAGAGAATTGATTCCGATTTCACCGGTCAGGCATGTGTTCATTTGGATGTCTATGTGGGTTCACCACAGTGAGGCGTCGGAGTGTTTCCCCAGTCCCAAGGCCTCCTGGTACTGTTCCTGTACAGCTATAACTATCTGCTCTCCAGACCCTAGTGCTCAAAAGTCAACAGTCTGTGACAGATCTGTAATTTCATTCTTTTATGAATATTGTATAATTTGAAACATACAAATTGCTATCTTTTAGAAATGGTCTTTTCTCCCTTCAGAGAATTTTTTTTTTTTCAGAGAAGTGGGGAGAGAGAATTTTGTGGCCACAAAGGGGGTCAGACTTGCAACAGCATGGAAACGTAGAGGAAGACATCAAGACGTGGGGTGGGCATCAGTATTGAGGGATCCACAAGGCTTTGTGAGCCGTGTAAGCCTATGGTTCAGTTAGGTAACCAATACCCTGGCAGCTGTTCTTCCACTATTGAAGAATTTAGTTCTGAAATAGGAGAATATGTGTTGAATTTTATAGCCCTCTTAGCAAAATCAAAACTGCACCGAAAAGACACAGATCCTATCCCGGATGTGGCCCTCCATGTTGCATCCGTGGCCCTGTGCCTCCTGCATCTCTAAAGCACATGTTGCATCCATGGCCCTGTGCCTCCTGCATCTTTAAAGCACACATTGCATCCATGGCCTCGTACTTCCTGAATCTTTAAAACGCACATTGCATCCATCTCCCTGTACCTCCCACAAATAGTGGGTGGATTTTAAATCAAAGCAATTCAAAGAAGAGATCAATCTTATCAACTGATTACATAAAAGGCACTCGTGTGTGTGTGTGTGTGTGTGTGTGTGTGTGTGTGTATGCGTGTGGGGGGGGGAAGTGGGAGGAAGGGTGGGTTGAAAAAATGTGAGCAGAGCCAGATCTGTGGTTATGTTTCAGATGGAAATACTTTTAGTATTTAGTACTAAATTTTAGATTTCAGTCCTGAGAAGGGAATAGCCTGGTTATTTGAAACGCCAAATTTTTAATTAGAGAGAATTTCCTGACTGCCATCATGATTTTCACTGACGCCCATGGGTGTGGGCTTTCCTCTTTGCCTCAAAGCCAAATGGTGAGTGAGGATGGAGAGGTGGAGGAACCTTCCTAAAAAGTAGCTGCTGAG